GTACATTTTAGAAAGAAATACTGTATTAGAATTGATGAAAATCAGCATATTGATTAGAGCTTCTCAAAAACTACATACACTCCAAAAAGAGATTGTTGGATTTACTTCAGCTCAACTAAAAAGAGAAAGAGTAAAGCAACTTTCACGTYTTTTTAAATAAAATTTGAAAGTTGCTTTACACTTACTCACCTCAGTTAAGTGCAGATTGCTGACATTACGTGGTTAAGTAAATTCAACAATCTGTTTTTTGAGTGTAGGAATTGCAAACAAAAATCAGCGCATCTGAAATGTTGTAAACTTGGAAAGACAGAGAGGAAGATTAGGTTAGATACATCAATAACATCTTGTTTTTGTTTGTCTTTTTGATTTTTGTGCTCTCATATCTCCTGTTTTAATATTTAATTCTTGGCTGGCGTTGTGTGTTTCACTCATCTAAAAGGCTGTCTGTCTTTTTACGATGCAGCAGCAGCATTTGGCTGKCTAGAATGTGATTTTTTTAATTAATTGGTTTATCATAGAATAATGGTTTGATTTCAGTGAAAAGCTTGCTGATTGGATTAGGCTTATCTGCATCCATTATGCAATACATTGCTAGTGTCAGCATCCAGTCATTCTGTATACTGGTACAAATTATTCAAAATAATGCACTTATCCAAATGCATGTTTCTGAAACATAARCCAATTTTCTCATTTTCTGTTTTAATGTTTTTGGACACCTTCTTTTTCTTCTTAAATTAGAATACTTGAAGGTACACAGCTGTTACTACTGATTTCAATTATTTAATTACTGTGTTTTTTTTTCTTTGACAAGTTTAAAAAGATACGAGAAAGAGATTTATGCATCTAAAATATAAAAACTAAACTGTTTTCTATTCAAAAAGACATTTAAATATCTGTTTCGTTTTAAAACTTTACTTTTAGCAAACAACACCTTTCTTTTCCAGATTCTCTTTCAGATGAAAAGTTCCTTCAAGAAAAATAAAAACATTATGAAGTGCTTCACAACTATTACTCCAAAGGATATTTGTCTAAAAAATCTGATTAAATTTTAGATGACCACAACAATATTTTTTTTCTTCCACAGAACACATTGAAAATCCATATTAATCAAATTTTATCTTTTTTTTTACTGTAACAGTTTCATTTAACTTTTTAAAAAATATTTTCCATGTTTTGTCAGTTTCAGAAAAACAAAGCTATCCATACTTCAGACACAGATCAGAACTTGAAGCTAACAGAACGTAAATAATTGATTTTTCATTCAGTGAGGTTTGAAAGTGTTGAGACTGGAGGATATGATAAGAGTCTTTTAATGCAGACCAATCAAACAAATCTTAATGAACTTTACTTATCATTCAGTTTTTTTGTTCATAAATCCATCAAGACCTAGTCCTTAACAAGCAGCAGCGTAAATAAAGACATATTTCATATCCTGAAGGAAGGTTTCATGGATCAGGATGAGTCATTGTAGTGAAGATTATGACTTTTTATTTATCTTTGACACAAAACATAAAAATTCCATTACTACCCATTATTATTATTATTATTAAAACTCATTATTATCTATCCCCCCTCCCTTTTTAGACATTATGTTCTATTAATCCCCAATGGGGACACTAGATCTTGCACATGTGGAGCAGTGGGCTGCTATCTAAGGCCGCCAAGAGCAGCAGGTGTTACAACCCTTGCTCAAGGGCTCACAGTGAAGGCATGGAGATGCTTTACCTTCCCAAATTATTTGTGCCAGTCAGGGGATTCAAACCTGTAACCTCATAATCGCACATTCTCTAACCTCTGCACCATCACTCTGCCTGTATWTCTGTTTGTTACCAAAGCATGTTGTAAACTGCTGGGTAAAATTTCATGAAACCTGCTGAAAGTTATCACTGGAAGTACATAAAGATAAATTTTTATAGTCAACCAGATTCAAGATGGCTGCCTGAGCCTACTGACATTTGAAAACACCAATCAGGAGTCTTCAATGTTTTTCAATGCCTCATTTATCCAACTGCTATGATTCACGGTAATGTGTGTTTAAAGACATGACGCTGAGACAAAAAGCCTGTTTGTTTTTCACAACCCCTCTAGGGGTTGTAATCCCTTTGTTGAAGACCTTTGCAGTAAATGGTTATATCTCACTTTGCTTTACAGATATTCACTTAAAACTGGATGTGATTGCTTGATGTCATTGTGCATATTATATTTTTAAGCTTTGTAAAAAAGTGGCTATAACTGAATTATTTCTCAACATCACCTGGCTTTAGTCTACAGCTCTGGCATGAAAGGCAGTTGAGGCGATTTGAGGCCTTCAATTATCATATAAATGTAATTCAGTTCAATTCAAAAACACTTTAATGATCCCAGAGGGAAATTAGGTTGTTKGTAATGTAAWTGGTAATACTTCCTGAGCTATAAAGGATTTAGCTTCTCTGCAGTGAAAAGCAACTAAATAAGTGTAAAGTTTATACTGAAGGACAGACAAAAACAGGTTTTCCTCAGACAGCTGAGACTGAACACTCAGCTGTCTTCAGAAGAACACCAGACTTCAAACTTTCCCTCAACAGGTTTCAGCTGGCCTCAGTGCTCAGTGGAGCAGTTTTATCAGAGGGAAGATTCCAAACCTCGTTTGATTCACAGTGGTTCCCATTAAATCCTGCCCCACAGCAGCAGCAGCAGGAGTCTGAACGCGCCGCAGGTATTACATCACCGCCAACAGCCTCTGCTGAACAACAGCTCTTATTAAGAGTTTTAAAAAAATGCTTACAACTTACCGCCGTGATCATGTGCCTGCTTGTGTTGCTGTGTCTGTTAGCAAAACATATCTTGACCCACAAAACGGATTTTACTGAAACTCTCTGGAAGTTATCACTGGATATGTGTCTGCATATATCAACCTGATTTAAGATGGCTGCCACTGTTAATCAAACAAACCAAACACAAAAATGACCATAACTCAGTCAGTTTTGCAGATTTTGAATTGAAATTTGTTGTGGTAGTAAATGAGAGTCATTCACAAGACATATGCTGAGAACYAAGAGATTGTTTGAGATCTTTGTTTTAAACTTCGGCTCGGCATTAACCATAGAACTCAACACTGTCTGTCTGTTAGCAAAGTATCTGATGAGTTAGTGATCAGATTTTAAAGAAGCTCTCAGGAAGTAATCACTGGATGTACGTCTACAATTCACTAACTTTTAGGGTCAACCCAGTTTAAGATGACCGCCACAGCTGTTCAACCAAACCAAACAGAAAAATGGCTGCAACTCAGTCATTTTTACAGATATTGAGCTAAAGTTTGGTGTGGTAGTACCTGAGAGTAATTCACAACACAAAATATAAGAACGAACAGATGCACCATATTTCTGGTTAAAACCTTGACGTGCAAGGCATATGCATTCATTTGAGGAGTGCTGATTTCAGCATTTATTAATCATTTGTGAAAATGTCTCTGATTAGGGTTGAAGCAGAGAGGTGAAAAATCCTAATAAAGTCTCAGATACTTTGTTTGTAACTATTCTGTGTTAAATAAAGACGTGCGCTGCGTTTTTCTTCACTGCGAAGTCCATAGATGGCCTTCACTCGACTGATCCACTGCTGGAACAAAGTATTCTGCCTTAGCAACACTTTGGAGGAGCAGCTCCTCACCACGGTTGAGACGTTATGTAATTTTCCTCTCAGCTGATCCAAATGAACTGGTTCTTCCTGGAACAAAACAGGGCTGGAGTGCTGGTGTCACAACAGTTTTCTATCTCCAGTCCAGCGGTTTTAGCAAAAGGTGCTGGGGGAGCAAGGCTCTGCTGTTTAACACTGTTCTGTCCTGCTGCACAAAGTGATCTGAGCTGGAGCTGATCTGGACAATTACTGTCAAATTTTACATAATAAAAAATGGGAAATTCCACTTTATTCAGCCAGTTCAGATAGTTGCTGGAAAGGTTTGTTAAATGACAAAAAATAAGTTTTAGTTTGATCAGTTATCAGGGTACAAAATGTGCTGGATCCATTAAATATCACGTGTCTTTTTATTTATAAAAATGATGATGATCAGGAAGTTGTACCTTTTGTTTAAACCTATTTTATAATTTAAAACTAGGGGGAAAAAAACAATACAATAACCAAAATCTACATTAATGTGTTCAGTAAAACCCGACTGAGCTGGAGAGGAGATTTGTTTTATTTGTTTTTCAGGGAACAAACAATACATTTGTTATTTCCTCAGTRATAAATAATTAATTATTAGTGCTCAGACACACACTCCTTCCTGGCTGCTGTCATGAATCCAACACACTTTTTAAAAAATGATTTCTGGATCAGATTGTGAGTCTCAGCAGCAGATAACACTCACTCTGAGGCTCCGGTTCCGTTTACAGCGTTCCCATCAGGAATCGGGTTGAGCTGGATCGGTTCTGGCTTCCTTCTCTTCTGCATGATGATGATGTTCCGCACACACACACACGCACACACTCACACACACAGCGGAAACAGGAGAAAATCTGCGGAGTCGATCAGTTTGGAGGTAGCGGAGCAGAAGCGGCTGCTGCTGCTGTTCGGGGCCGGACAGAGTGGATGCGGAGTGGGAAAACGTCACGGCGGGTTTCAAGGCTGGTCTTCCGGGCCGCGCGGCAGGACTTGGTGCAGCGCGCCCTCTGCTGGTGACGGCTGATATYACCAGGCTGACACTGAGAAGACTGAAGCCTTCTGAAAAAGTCAGTAGTACATAATACTGAAATAGTTTTAAAGAGACTGTGTTGAAGCAAAATAAAAAAAAAAAAAAAAACCTAGCTGCCCTCAGTAAAGAATTACCATGATAGTCCGGATTCTGTCAAAAAATTAAAATAAAATAAAATAAACAAATAAAAATCATGAACAATCAGTATCTTACCTGTTGTAGATCCATTTTTGAATGTCTTATGTTTGGCWAAATAAGTTCCCATCAGACAGTTATCTAAAACTTCCTGGGAATGTTCTCTAAAGTTTCTCTGAAAATAATCTTTACATGTCCTGATGCATCTCAGTAATCCAGGTAAAAAAATCAAAAAGAAAAAAATTGTGTAGGTCTTCCGTCCAGAAGACCTACACAATTTTTTTCTTTTTAATCTTTACATGATTCCTGAACGTATTGTAGGGAACCTTCAGTGAACACTGCATTAAGTTAGCTCTGACCTTCACTATGTTGCGTTCAGGGACACTTTATGGAACATTCTTTGAATAAAATGTGTTCTAAATTTTGTTTTATGACCTTCAGGAACATGACTTTGAACTTTTACTGAGTGGAATTCAGGGAACCTTTGGGGGACTTGATGATTATTTCCAACTTTAAGTGTTTAACTCAGGGATGAGCAACAGGGGGGCTACCAATGAGCCACCTAAAGCACTCAAAGCAGCTTTGTCAACAAACAACTGTGGCCCCTTCCATCATTTGAGTTGCTCATCCCTGATTTAGCTATTAAGGAACATTCATTAAATGTTCTCTGAATGTCATATAGTTTCTGTTCACTATGTAGCTTTCATGGAACCTGTGAGGAATGTTTCTTGAAGTTTACTTCCAACTTTCAGGGAATGTAAAATTTTCTAAAATGTCAGATTGTGGTTGGAATCCTGCAGGAGCTTGTGCCAACAAGCAGAATATTTGAAGTTTGTTCAGTAAAAGTCACTGAAAGTTGGCTGCAACCTTTAGTGGACGTTCTGTGAATGTTAAAATGAAAGTTAGATGAATGTTTGGATCACCAGTTAAAAATCACCATTTGCTGGAGAGTGAGTTTTAACCTTTTCAAATATTGTGAGAATCACTGCACTTACGAGCTAACATCTAATAAAAGCAGGGCCCAGACCAAAGTAGGTTTTTGCTATCTTTAAATGATGCAAAACTGAGAAATAAATCAACAAAATGAAATCATAGTGATTCATGTGAATGGACTTCCTCCCTCTTTTATTTTGCACTGCTATTGTGACAGAAACATTGTGATATTGTCACCAGGAGTACAGCCCAGCTGCTGTTGCATCAGTCATTCGCATGTTCAAGTAAACAGAAAAATGCTTATGATGCAATTTGCCCCAGGCAATTAACACTTTTAATCACTTTTAGCATAAAATATTCTAGTTAAAGAATTTCCCATAAAAAGTAAGAATGTAAGTGCTTGTGTAAATGTAGCTAATGAGCAAATTTTTGTTTTAATTCAACACATATACAGATTTGCATTTCACTGAAAACAAATATTTGTTACTATGTTTCAAGTACTATAGAATATATAGTAGAAAGTATAAAGAAATAATCAAAAACAGGTAAAAATAAAAAGTGTTAATTGCTGATATTTTACTTTTCTATCCATTTTTATCCTCCTCTCATGTAAAACTCCTGCAGTTCTTCTCTCACTTCCTGTTAACTGACCTGCACTTTTCATTATATCACATTTTTAAAAATCCTTTTTTTTCCCCTCCATGTCATGTCTTCATCATCACCAGTTCTGCAGTCAAAGTTCCTGGACATCCTTTGCTTCTGTTTTATTTATTTCAAATCATCAAGGATTCAGAGTCTGATTTCATCTGCAGCAAGACGACTTCTTTAATACTTCCTTTTATATTTTTATTCACTTCAGTTCAGATGAATAAAGGAAGCAGTAAATATAAGAAAATTCATAAAACAAATTCATATTAGTATTTATTTTGAAGCCATTTTATTCAAGTCTGATGTAAAAAAATATTTCCATCATCTAAGTTTTAGTACTTCTTGTTAAATGTGGCTYAAATAAAAGTTTGGTTTTTAAGCAACAAATAAGAATCGACTTTGAAAAACGAACACTGTTTATAAAATTGACTGTTATATTTACTGCATAGTTTTCCAGGATCAATTATCTCCCCAGCTGTAGAAACATCAAATCAATCTGATTCATTTATAACCTTTAAAGCAACAGTAAAAAAAAAAAAAATCTACTATAGAAAAGTTATGTAAAAGTGTCGATTAAGAACCTTTTTATTTCTCAAAATCTTATTTTATTGTTTGATTTATTTTGATCTATTCATGGCTGAATTTCCATAACTATCACTAAGATTCACTGTTACAAAAAAAACATAAAATACTGTCATATAACACAACAATACGTTGTATATAATGTTAAACTTGTCCAAGAAGGTGAACTAAACAATCAAACTAACATAATTGGAACCCCTTATCAGCAGTCAGATAATCCCTCACTGCAAAGATGAAACACTTGTGAGCTGATTATCAAGATGACCGATAACCACTAAAAACCTGCACTAATTAAGTAATWAATTAAATATAAATTTGAAGATCTGTAACATCGTTTGCTGCTTTGACCAGGGGTTAACATCTGTCTACTCTACTTCTCACCAGCTGCTTGGTACAAATTACACATCAACACTGAGCTTTTTGTTGTATTTTCCTACTTAGTGTTGCAAATGCTCAAAGTAACATTTCTGTCCAAACACCCACAACTTTTGTGTCGAGACCACAGTTACCTGCCAAGAAAGAAAGAAAGAAAGAAAGAAAGAAAGAAAGAAAGAAAGAAAGAAAGAAAGAAAGAAAGAAAGAAAGAAAGAAAGAAAGAAAGAAAGA